CTGGCGCAGGGCAGGGAGGGAGCGGACCTGCACCCCTGGTGGGGCTGCCTTCTCCGCGTGGCGTGGGGCTGGCAGGGCGGCCGTGCTCAGGCCTGGGCTGCTGGAGTCTCTGATGAACCGCTTTGCACAAAGCCCTTCAGCGTCTGCACAACCCCTGCTCTTGGCATGGCGGCTTTAAGTCTGGGCGCCCTTGATCTAGGGCCCCGGAATGAACCGACTGCGGAACTGGGCAGTCTCACGGTTAAGAGCAAGTCAAGAGGGGCCAAGCAGGACCCAGGGCCACCCAGGCGGCTGGGGTGTCACGGCCGAGCCTGTCTGACGAGGACCCACAGGTCCCTCCCCCTGCTCTACTTCCAGGTTCAGGATGTTCAGTCCCGGGGTGTAGGCAGGCCTGCTTTTCTGGTCAAATAAAGGCACGGAAGTAAAGATCTGATTGGTTGACTAAGCTGCTAGGAAAACAAGAGGCCCAGCCAATAAAGTGCGCAGATGGTTAGTCAAGCCCCTCCCCGGAAGAGTGTCATCACACACCTCAGAGCCCTGGGTGAGAAAGTGTCCACAAAGGAAGGAAAGCGCGCAGAATTCACGGGGAAAAGCACGCCTTCTGTTATGAAAAATTCACAGCCATGTGAGCCACAGGGTTCTGTCATCACGTGGTCACTGTGGGGGCTGAGGCGACACAGATGTGAATGTGGTCCTTCCCTCCACACTGGGCTCATCTAAGCGTATTGGGAGGAACCTGGACAGGGATCTCCCGGCCGCAGGCCATTCCCTGTGTGCGGCCCTGCACTGCACGCCACCCTCCACATGTGGCCTGGCCACGGAGCCCCGGAGCCCCGCGTGAGAGTGCCACGTGAGAGCGCCTGGAGAGCCAGAGGGAAGCATGGCGGATCTCACAAGACTGCCTGGGACTGCCGAGGGTGAGAGCACTGGTTCAAAAGGCTCGGAAGACTCAGAGCTAATGTTTACACTAGCGGTCAGGCCACGAGGCCACTGTGCATGAGCCCTCAGAGGAGATTAATCTTACCAGACCTGAGGCCCTGAACCTCACTGTCCCCTATACCTGGGCGCCTGAGCATTAAAGAGAAAAAACCAACATGATATAGAAAAATGTTAGTTACATGCAAACAAGTGGTTAGAATAAGATGGAACTTGGAGACATTATAGAAAATAGGTCTACCTTTCATCTACCTTTCATCTAGCGCCAATATTCCACCTTTGTATGGAAATTACCGAAAAATCGGTACAGCGGTCTGGGAGGGTTAAGGACTAAAGTAGTTTCAGGAGGTGCCGGCCTCGGGGAGCCAGTGCTGATAAGGGCTCCAGCTGGTGGCAGCCAGCACCCCAAATCTAAGTGGGGAGGGGGCCCGGGAGGCATGTCCAGGGGTGGGTGGCCTCGGGGATCTGGGCTCTGCCCAAATTGGAGCCAAATCCTGAAGGTGCTCTGAGTGGCGAGGGCCCGACCCCCCCAGGAGCGGCCAGGGCGAGGGAAGCTCCTGGAGGAAGTGCTGGCGTGGGGGTCCCAGGGCCGGGTGGTGCATGGGAGCCCGTCCCCACGCAGCATGCCGGCGCCAGCTTCCTCACAAGTCAGACCACCCTCCCTAGAAAAGCCAGTTTCCCAAATCCAACCTCCACGAGGACTGCACCTCAGGGCAGCGGCCTCCGTGCCACAGGGCCGGCCCTCCTGCCCCTTCCCTTGTTCCAGGGCCCCATCTGGACGCGTGTCCCCGTGACAGGTCCACAGATGACCCAGGCCAGGCTCGAGATCACCGTGGCCTTTTCCCCAAATCCAACCCCGGCCAGGCCCGCGGCCACACGCCGACGCGGGGAGCAGAGACACTGACAACGCCCGGGCCACCTCCGACTTACCCTGTGGTGAGGAGGGGGCGGCGGGGGCGGGGGCGAGCCCAGCAGGTCCTGGCTGTCCATCAGGTTCCCATAATCCGCCATGCTGCCCTTCAGGGGCAGAGGGGGCGGGACCTCGGCCACGTCCATCCCGGTCATGCCGTTCAGCTCCAAACCTGAGAACGGGGTGGATTTAAAACAAACCCACGTCCCGCTGGTGGACATGCCCACACGCTGCTCCCAACGATCCAGAGCAGCGGGAGGCAGAACCACTTTATCCCGAGCGATGCCGGCCAGCGGGCAGGGAGGAGAGCGGGAGGGGGGACAGGGCAGAGGGCGGCCCCTCCTACGGGCATGTCCAGGGAAGAGAACGTTAGGTGCTGTGAGGCCCCGAACCCAGGGCTGGAAGCCACTGTGAAAACAGCCACGTCACCCGGGACCCTTCCATCCCTCCCTGGGCCCTTCGCCTCCCGGGCATTTAAACAGCTGGGGGTCAGGAGACGGGTCTCCGCCTGCCCTTTGCAAAGCCCAGCAGGACCGGGCACCAGCCCGCTGCAGCTGCTGCCTGGAGAGCGTCGCTAAGCGAGGTCTAAGGTGCACACAGCCGCCCGCCGCTCAGCGCTCTCCACGGGCGGCCGTGGCTGCATGAAATGAAGTTATTAGCATGAGCGGGCCTGGCTGCTGCCTCCAATAAGCCCGGGGAAGTGCAATTGATTTTTAGAGTGGACGGAGGAAGTGGCAGCTTGCAAATGGAGGAGCAATCGTCAGGGTGTCACGCCCTCCGCCCGGGTGAGCCGCTCAGACAACACTGGTTTCCTTTCGTGTTAAAGAGGAAGACGGACACGTGGGCCGGCGGGTCTTCCCTAGTTTCCCCGATGACGCAGCGGCTGATGGGAAGGTCCCTCTTAGGAAAGCTCTTCCAGGAAGAGCCGCGTGGAGGGACCCGGAGGCCTGGCCCGTGGATGGGGAGCGAGAAGGAGGCCTGGGAATGAGCGCTTGCCCAGGACTGGTGGGGTGGCTGGCTCGTCGAGGCAGGACATACGTAACGCAACCCTGGCCGCTTTAACCACTTGGAGCGTCCACGTCACTGGCCTTTATCCCATTATGATGTGCAGCCACCATCACTGTCTGTTCTCAAAACGTCCTTGTCCCCCGAACGCAAAGCCTCCACCCAGAGGCACCGGCCCCCCCTCTCCCCGCGCCAGGAGGGCCCGAGAGCCGGGGGCACACTT